ATTTAAAATGTGAAAAATATAATCATCCGTGAAAGTTATCAAAAGTATTATCCAGAAGAGAAAGTGGGATTTCTAAAAATTGTATGATATTTAAATAGATAAAATCGCGTCATGGATGGAAAAGCACGAAATGGAAAATTCGAGGAAAAAGATTAACGTTGGAATTAAAATGTCACGTTTCCCAAGCGCATATTTCTTTTTATAAGGTCTAGCAAACGACATATTGTACACAATTGATTAGTTTGTTGAGTGCTTTAATTGGCCCAAGTGCTGTGAGTAGTGCAAGGACGCGCAGTCTCTTCGCCTAGTTCTATAGAGTAAAAGTATTTTTCTAACTAAAAGTTTCTCTGAAGGTTATTCTGCTCTCCTTAGTTGTTGCATTAACGTTTGCATTCGTAATTTTATTTTAATCGATACGTAATTGCACTCTTTGAAATTGATCATATCGTATATCGTATTTTTTTAAATCATTATAATAAATATGAAAAAAAACTTTCGAGAAATTGTTTATCTTTATTGGTTTTAATTACAATGTTTTAAAAATTCTAAAAATTTGAATCGTTTACGAATGATATGATAGAAATAAATTTTAATATAAAAAGGAAAAATGATGAAAGAAAATGATGACAAAACTTCAAAATTTTTGAAATATTGGATAGAAAATTTGAATTTTGATTAAAGAAAGAACTTTATTATTGTTACTGATTCAAAGATTAATCGATGAAATTTTTTCTTAAATTGTTACATTGCTGTCGCGATTAAAGAGCATAAAAAGACTATGCGCAACAATTGCATGATTAGACTTGTACTTATCGTGGAATGCAAACGAATGAAAGAAATCTCTGTTTGACAAATTTACCATCCAATATTGCATTCTTAACAACAATGGAGTATCTTTATTTAAACGTACAATGTTTGCGCATTGAAAAATAACAAATGGCTCGTATTTTTTTTTTTTTTTAAATTTATCGCATATTTTTACTTTTGTTCCATTCTTCGATTCAAAAGGAATGATCAAAATTTGTCCACTCTTTTTCTTGAAAGAAGAATTCTAATCTATTATTATACAAATTAGGATATTTAAATGCATAGCTTTTATGAAATAGAAAAATAAAATTAAAAAATTATCAATTTATACGTATCGCAAAATAATTAAAAGAATACATCTTATTCTCTCTCTATAAATTCTTCGTAATTTTTTCGGATTTTTTTTTTATTTGAAGGAAAAAATTTGTGGCCAAATGATTACAACACTATTATACGAAACGTATGAATTTCAGACTAAATATCGCGAAAATCGAATAAATTATTTTTTGATTGTACAACACAATTTCTAAAGTACTTAAACATGATAACATTCTAAATATAAAAGACAAAACAATTATGAATAACACTGAGATGTTTGAGTTACAGCGTGCGAAGATAATAAAAAGGAAAATAATTTATTTCTGCGGATAGATCGTTTATTCTCTGGATACTTTATGTTCCTTTGTAATACGAACACATTGTGTCGTAAGTGTGACGCATTCTACTATATCGGACAATTAGTAGTGTTTCGTGAAATGTCATTATGCACTTCAAAGTTAACCGATCTTTTCAAAAGATTAAATTTGAGAGAAGAGATAAAAAAAAAAAAAAATCTGCATAAGAAAAAAAATTGCAATCAACTTCTTTCCGGTGTCAATTAACAACAAATGTTAATGAAGCCTTTAACGATAGAAAGATATAAGGAAATAAAGAACCGTTTGTAAAACTTGTGCTCTCGCGTTCTAAATACAGCTGCGAATAATCAAGACTTGGAATTAAAGGATATTAGAATTATTTCTACTAAATGAATTCATCAATAAACTCGTCATAAGATTCGGTGAATGAAAATTTCTTATTTTTTTTCTCTTCCTATTGAATTATTATATACACAATTTTTATCGAATCTATAAATAATCAATTCAAGCAAAATTAAAGATAAGAAGCGTCGATAATGTTCATGTTTTTTTTAAAAATTCACTTTAATTTTTATTGACAAAAATCTTTTTCTAACTAGAAAGTAAAATAAAAATTTATTTTCTTGCATTTTTCTTTTCTAGGGTAAAAGAAGACAAAATTCTTTATTCGAATTAAAAATCAAATTACGTCGATACCAGGAATGAGAAAGATCCCTCGATCAGGAAGATTCCCGCTATCAGCTGGTATTATATAGCGTAATCAAACGAAATTTACTACGGTCAGTCTTAAATGGCTAAATCAATTTATTCGATTACGTCACACAATACGATTCTCCGTGTTCTCGGCACCTATATAACGATCGTCCCTCTATCGAATCCGACGACCTTTTGTGTCGTTCGATTTTCAATCTTCCCCGTTTACGATATTTTCGTCCTTCTCGCGTGACGCGCGAATCAATGAATAACGCTCCCGCGAATTTCCTCGTTTCGAAATTCTTCGAATATATTTTTATTTTATATTAAACGGTGCATGGATTATTGAGAATTGAACATTTTTAGAAATAAAAAATAAAAAAAAAGTTTGTAAAACTTTTTGTAAAAATATACAAAATATGATTATGTTTTAAGAATGAAAAGATAGAAATTTATGAAATTTCTATTCAAGTTCCATTTCTTTAATCAGGTTCATAAAGATTTGATTCTGCGTAAAGATTCATACTCATAAGTAATTAAAAAGATCAAGACCAAAGATGAATGTTAATTATATTTGTGATATTTTTGGGAGAATCGATGAATGTAAAAAAAAACAAAAGTCGGTCGAAGCTTATTTATTAAATTGTTATATATTAATTTAAGATTGATAAATAATATAATTATTTTTATAATCCAAAGGAATATATTTATTATTTAATCATTTAATATTATTCCATGAAATCTACGCAATTGGATTAATAATTTTATTATTATTCCAAAACAAGAATATCTCATCACGAATATCCAGATTATTCAGATTACCACTTATTTTGTTCATTTCAATATTTTCTAACGAAATGTTCGACAATAATTGCACTGTTATATACAAGATAAATAATATTCGAAAAGAAATATTTCAAAAAGGTTGTAAAAGCTTCGGCCATTCAAAAATCTTCACTCTTTCCGTCGAAAAGAATGGGGCGTGTTTCACATTAATGCGAAATAAAGATCTGTACAAACTCATAGACCACTTAATAACTAACTAAAATGCATACGCATTACATTTGGTGTTATACCAGTAGCAGGGTTAATCAAATGGCTTTCCGCAAACAATAGTGTACCAACGTGGATGACGAGTGGTGCACGACGAGAGAGCACGTTGTTAATACACGCGATTCCGCACGAGTTGTGTACACGACTTTAAAGATCCTACGTCGGATATATAAATGTCGCACGATATGCCAGGCGATGCTCTTAACCGATCTGTTGGCGTCGCGGATCGCACGCGTTTCCCAGTGGATCTCGTGCGTTTTCAAGAAGTCATAAGTAGAGGTGCGCTCGTTGCGAGGAGGTGACGAAGGAGGAGAAGGAGGATTGGAAAAAAAGGGGGAGAGGGATGACGACCAGAAATTTGGAAAAGATGCTAAGGCTCACCACGTTGTCGAGGGTCCGTCTTTTACGGTATTGAATATATTAAATGTCGATGAAGGAAATATAATTTTGGATTTTATAGGGTTTATATTTTAGTCCACTGTACAGTAGTCGATGGAAGATGTTTTGTTGTAATTCTTGCTCTAGTAGGCTGGTTTGATGTAATAAGAAAGAGATAGATGATGTTTTATCGTATTTTTATAGAAAGAATATCTAGAATAGATATACAATAGAATATCTGTGGCATTGATCATGTAGAGTATTTGATTGAGAAGCTATTCTTTGTAAGGTATTGATCGTGACTTTAAAGTTCACAAGATGTAAAACAGATAGATTATATTTTATTGTGTATTTTTGTTTCTATAGAAAGTAATGCTTTCTTTTTGTTTAAGGCTGTTGGAGAATATTGTAATATTGAAAGTTGGATTTTGTAAAATTTACGATGATACTGAATAATGGTGGTTTAAAATTCATAATATGGATATATTTTACAATTTATATGATGGAGAACAGTTTTATCTTTTTGATTATGGAATTGAATGTGGTTTAAGATTGATGGGATGGCAAATATTTTATTATATTTTGAATTTTATGAATGAATGTGATTTAAAGTTGAAAAATACCTGATCATATTTTCTGAATTCTGAACAGTTTATACTTTATGATATTGAACGTGGTTTAAATTTTATGAGATGGAGAATATCTTATCGTATATTTCCAAGTATAGGTGTTTAAAATGAATAGGATGGATGATATTTTATTGTACTTTGGATTTTATGGTTTCCTTTGATCGATTAAGGATTATTTTCATTTATGGATTTTCTCTTTTTAAAAAAACAGTCCTCTTATAAAAAATTTCAATGATCATTTGTATTAACATTATAACTTTTAATAACTTCTCAATGGTAAAATCTATTCCTTGAAAAGACTTATTTACGATCTGTCTCTATTGATCTAAGATCTTATGATACTTCCTTAGTTAGATAAATTAATCGATAAAGTAAGATGTTATTAAGAACTCGTGACTCATCTTTCACAATACAAATCGTTAAAATTCTTTACTTTTAAACATTGTCTTACAAATAACATATAAATTTACAGAATTTTATTAGGGAATGAATGAAACGAAATAAAAAAAATTCTTACAACGTGATATATTCATCATTTTAATTTCCTACATATTTATCATCAAAAAAATTGTAAATTCAATTTCATCCACACTATATACCATAATTTTTCAAAAAGTAATCACAAGTTTTTTTTTTTTATCAAAGTTATTCGATAAAAGAATTACAGGTCAAAGACACGAGATTCTAATATTTGAACAGATGGCCATATTCCATTGAGAGTTGATATTGATATTCCACTTCTACATTTCCCTTTTTAAAGAATATTTCAAGGGTACATTTTTCCTACGTATTTATTTATGCATAGTAATCTTTATCTCGGATTTTCGTTGGAGCACATCGAGAAAAGAATGCCATGCGGAAGACCAAAGATGATCGCGTTAAGATCACGACCCATCATTTTCGAATCAGTATCGAGGAGGAGGAGGACAATGAAGAGAACAAAGAAGCGGAGGATCAAGCAATCGGAGAGATGGACAGAAAAATTTCCATCACGATAGAAACGGATTCCAACGTAACGATCGGTGGACAAGAATCTGGAATAAAAAATTTTTCGTTCGATCAGGAAGAATCTTCGTTTTCGATCGATGATCAATCACCGGATAAAATCTTGAACAAGGGCGTCCAAGAGGACAATTGGAACGAACGTGAGACACACTTGCAGAGGATAAGCGACTTTCATTTCGAAACATCGATCGAATCTGATAGCTCAGAGGGTCGAAACGATGATCGGAAGAAGAGAAAAATGGACGAGCTGGTGGATGAAAATTTTTCTGACGATTCTGGGAGAAGCAGGAACCAGTTGGGGAAGATGCAAAATGACAGTTTGGAAAGCGATACACGATCTTCGGAAGTTACGAACGAGAATCGTGGAAGCTTTGGTTCCAGCAACGAGGTCTCTCCATCTTCGACCAGTTTTGAACAGAAGGGAAACGGCTTTGGCCCGATTTATTCGACGATCAAGTATTCCATCGAAGGATGCTCCTACGAGAATGCAAATTCGACCAACAAGTTGGACCGCGTTGGTTCAATCTCGACCACCAGCTTCCTTCCTTTCGTTGAAATTTCTAATCCCGTTACCACCATTAAACGTCATGGATCTCTTTCCACGTATGAAACGAGATTATCGAGCATGAATTCCCCCGTTGAGCGCAAGAGGACTTACAGCACAAACGAGAAGATGTTGCAACATTTTAAGAAAGCGCTTCCTCGATCGAGCGAGAGGAAACAATCGATAACAACTACACCAGAAATCCAAGAGACATCCGCAATTGACCATCCAATTCTTTCTTCCGAAGTATCTCCCCTTCTAGTCAGACGTTGTTACAAATTCATGCCCACGTTTCCACCACACTCCTCGAATCTGGAAACTGGAGAAAATTCGCTCGAGACGAAAGATATCGTGACTAATAAATCGAGAAACGCAGAATCATCATCATCGTTCAACGTCGATCCAAATTCCAAAGATGAATCCTTGAAGATCGAAGAACTCGCCTATCCATCCATCCCTCGAGTCTCTCCACTTTTGCTCAGACGATATTACAAAGTCATGTCCACGCGTTCGTCCAGTCTGGACGAGATCTCGTCTAAAAACCACCAACCAGAAGAGGATCGAGATTCGTTCAATACGAAAGAACCTGTAATAACCGATAATCAAAGAACAAGATTAAGCGTTAAAAATTCAGAGGATGCGAATCGGTCAAACGCAGCTCAAAGAAGATCGACCTTGCCTATGATGAATACCGATCTAAAAGATGCACCCAAATCGCACCCAAATTATCAGGACGTGTTGTCGGGCACGAGCGTTAATCCCATCAGGCGATCAAGTATCGCCAGTGCGGCTATCTGCTCGAGTTTGGCTCCAAGTTTGGTCAGCGCGTGTCAAGGTATTCCAAACTGTTTGCTACCCATCTCGGATGAGAAAGAAGTATCGAGCGATTCGCCTACGAATATTGGCGACCACGTATCCGGGAGAAGCGGTATCAGGTTGAAATTGCCGTTTCTAAAGATTCATATACCCGTACAGCAACCGGCGACTAGCTGGTCGGGCTCGAAGGAGGAGGATGTTGGCCATCATTATTCGCATCATCATCATCACCATCACCATCATCACCACGTGTTCCCGCATTTTCATGTACCCACGTTACGTTCACCGCGACGGCCACCGATGGCGCCGAATCCGGCCGGAAGTTCAACTTTGGGATTCGAAGGCAGTCGCAGATGGTTAGTTAGCGGTTTTTGACGAGTGTTCGTTCCTTCGAGATGGGAAGGAGCAGCTTTGATTAACGAATCGGGATTATTCATCGAGTGATCGCAGGCTTTTTTCGCGTTTGTTTCGAGGTTTCCAATGTCGATTGTTTTTGATTGCAATTGAATTTTGATATCAAATAATAATAATAATAATAATAAATAAGTAAAAGGTACAATCTATACCTGGAAACCTGAAACATTAATGTGTTTTAAAAATTTTTTAAAAATGCTGTCTCATTTGCACAAAAATCGACGTACGGCTCGATCGTTCGTTGAGAAGGAATCCATTGCAAAAAAAAAAAAAAAAGAAAAAGCTTTCCAAAGGCAGATTTTAAGGCAAACGTAAATATGACACGTATGCTTTAAAAGATGGGCTAAAGGATAGATTTTTGATCGATGTTTGTTTAAAATGGAGATTATGGTGATCGTGTTTTCGTTATCTTCCATTTTTTTAAATAATCGACGCTTATTTCTTATAAATATTTAAATATAGAAGAATATTCAACAAACGTATATTCATACGTTTTTATCAAGTCGAACATCTTGTTTCTTGTTTAATTTTTTGCATTCGATCATTTTATTTTTTCTTTATTGATTATTTTCGAAAATTGATTTCCATTGACGTATTATCGTTTTAATCAGAATTTCTTTAAAATTATAAATGCGAGATTAAAGACAATGAAATCGTAAAATCTCCATTCAATTATACGAGATATTACTCTTACTTACGAAATTTAGTTTCGCCATTTACACGATAACGTTTCATTATTTATCCTCGTTCTTTTAATTTATTAGCCAATTTAGATAAAACAAGGTATAGAATTTAATAATATCATAAACTTTTAGATAATAAGTAAATTTATATCTATTATAGTTATAAATTAATTATGATCTCGAACTTCTCGTGTTTTTTAAACGATTAAGTAAATTCTTTCGTGTAAAATTTACACTGTTAGATTAAAAATATTATTCATTCATTTTTTGCAATGTTGACTAATAAAAATATTTGATTGGATGGCATTACTGGAGATAACTTGTCTAATAAAATTTCGCCGGTCTCTCATCTTATCAGTTTCTATTTGCAACAACTATATTGTATTTATCCACGAGCAAGTTATTTTTTACGTCGTGCATTCGATGTAAGAAATACGTCAGTATATTTTATCAGGTGGATCCAGTGTGTATTTCAACGATTGAGATTTGTTTCGCATGGATTGATTGTATGTGAATGAAAATTTACGTATGTGTGTGTGTGTGTGTGTACATTTTATCAAAGTACATTAACACTAAATCTAATATTTAATATATATTCTGTCTTATTTAATATGTAAAGCTATTTTATACACGTTGCTTCTTAAATTTTGAAAGATTACAGACATTGGTATATCAAACTTACCTTAAAGCTTGAAGTATTAATTCTTTTCAATAGCAAATTTTAACAGCCTTTTAACTACAATCAAGCTTCAAGTTTGATTTATAATATAGAAAGTGCTTATTGTATATATGTATATAAAAAAGAACAATTTGCATATTTCATTTTTTGAAGTATTAAGGATTGAATAAATATTTCAATAAATTGATACTTATATCTTAAAATCTTAAATATTATTCAAATAATTATCTTTACTTTTTTAAAAATCTTATTTTAATCCTCGAAAAAAGGATAAAAATTTTACGGTTGAAAGGTTTTTACGAAAAATCGTTGCATAAAATGTTATAACAATATCCCAACTACTTTTGTATCTTATCCTTTTTTTTATATTTTTCTTTCAATCAACGTTTCTGCTGTTTCTGATTCAATCTTTATCGTTGACCCATATTCCATTGTGTTCCCTTGAAATATGTATAAGCTCTGCGTATACTTTGCCTCGCTCAGAAACCGTGAAAATTATTTGCAACCACTGTTCATGTGGTTCCATTAATCGAACAATAAAATTTTCGTAATTAATTTTTGTAATTAAATAAAAATCATTTTAAATATTCTGATAACTTTTTGATTGTTTTTCTAACACATTGTTAAATCATTTTTTCTTTTTTGTTATAAAAAATCGATATAATAATACAGACTAAAAAGTGTATTGAACCATTTAAAAATACTAAAATACTAAAATATTTAAAAATATTATTTTTGATAAATCTTTGATTATAAATTTATTCGTCTCTTTTTATTATTTTTTTTTTTTTTACAGATTTTTGTTTATTTTCGATGTTAAAAATATTGTACGACTTATTTAATTTAACTTTTAATTTTATGACAACAGCTAATTGTTTCTATATAATTTTACGTTTTAAAATCAAGTTATCATAAAATTCTAAGTATATCTCAAATTTCAATATATTTATTAAATATATTTATTTATATATAATTAAAAAAATATCCAATACAAGTAAAATTTAATGTGATTTATTCCTCATTTGACTTATTTTTGGATTAAGATATAATTTTTGCAAATTGTGCCTCTACTCACACAATAATTAATTCGTTTTGCATCAGCTTCTAATTGGAGAACACGAAATTCTCCAATTTTTAACCATCTGCTGTAAATTCATTTTTAACGAGCCAACATTATTTTTCACAGACCTTGCATCGGACTGACTCGATGGTATCGCTCTGCTACCGATCTCTTGCCAGCTATATCACAGATGATAATCTCGCTGGTCTCCAAAATTTCCTCGAGAATAAAAGAGTGCAGATCGATGACCGAGACGAGGTAAAATATTATTAAAATAATCACTTTAATTCCGATTAAATTATTTTTCTTCAATTTCTCTTTTTTGTTCCACACGATAAACTACTTGTCTCATTTCTGAATCTCTATCTACTTCTGTATCTTTGCGTTAAGATGATGATGATAAACAAATTTTTTATTTTTTACGTAAATAAACTGAATCATTTTCTTAACATTTTCGTTCTTTTTTTCTAATCTATATAAAAGTGTAGTAGAATTTTTACACCTATAAATTTATATTAGTAATAATCGACAATCTCAATTGATTATAGATTACATAATTATCGAATTGAATTTCCAATGATCAGACTCTAGATAGTTCATCATTGTTCTTATAATAGAATGGTAGCACAGCCCTCATCCTTGCAGCAACTAAGGGGAAAATACATTTCGTGCGAGAGCTCATCAATCATGGAGCGGATGTCAATGCGGAGGACGGGGTTAGTATATCGTGTATTATATCATCTATGAAATTTTTAAACATTTCATTCAATTATACGGTTAATTTAATTTTTTCTTTTAGGATAATTGGACGGCGCTACTTTGCGCGGCCAAAGAAGGACACACGGATGTGTGCCTTGAATTACTCGAGCATGGTGCTGATTTGGAACACAGAGACATGGTAGAGTATTTTTTAAGCTTTTTTCCTCCTCTTTTATGATAAAAAATTTAATTATATTTGAATAATTTCATGGTTTAAAATTAGATTAATATCCACATGGTTAAATGAATAAAATTATTGATGATGATGATGATGATAATAATAATAATAATAGAAAGAAAATCGAAGAAAAAATAATATGGAAAATATTTTATTTTTAGGGAGGATGGACAGCACTTATGTGGGCGACCTATAAGGGTAAATCGCCGACGGTGACGATGTTGCTAACACGAGGGGCTGACGTCAATGCACACGGAAATTTTCATATATCTTCGTTATTATGGGCCGCAGGGAGGGGTTACCCTGACATTGTTAAGGATCTCATTGCTCATGGTGCTAAAGTCAATGTTGGTGACAAGGTAATTTATTTTTACTTTTTTTCAAGTTCAAGTACGATGTACTTTATAGAAATGAATAATTATAAATAGAAGAAAATCGATATTTTATGAGTTGTAATATTTTTTTTTCCGTATATTTCTCATCGAAGTTACACTTATATAAATGCTACTTGTCAATTTTTAGTATGGTACTACGGCGTTGGTATGGGCATCACGCAAAGGACACGTAGAAATTGTAGATACACTTTTAAAATCTGGTGCTAATGTAGATACTGCTGGCATGGTATGTCTTCAATTCTAATATTTGTGTATGAATTAAGTGATAAATAAAGATTAAATTGATCGATTATTTTAAAGTTAGTTTTAATAAAATAAAATTCAATGAACAATGAATTTTAAATTATTTAGTTTAAATTAAGTATTAATGAAATTTTGTACACAGTATTCGTGGACAGCTCTTCTTGTGGCCACTCTTGGAAATCATGTGGATGTAGTATTACTTCTCTTGGAGCACAAGCCAAATGTGAATGCGCTAGATAAAGATGGTTGTACGGCCTTAGCAATAGCATGTCGAGAAGGGCATCACGAAATAGCAAATGCGCTTTTAAATGCTGGTGCTTATGTAAATATTCAAGATAGAGCTGGTGATACAAATCTGATTCATGCTGTAAAAGGCGGTCATAGAGGAGTGGTTGAATCTCTTTTAAAAAAATATGCTGATGTTGACATCGCCGGCAAGGTAAAGACATATTTATTAAAAATAATTAATACGTCCAATTTTTATGAATAAAAATTATTTAAATATTAATGTTAAGTTATTTAAGTGTTTAATTATTTTTAACAACATTGATCATTGACATATCAGAATAATTATTTAAATTTTACAAATATTTTAGGATAAAAAAACAGCAACTTATATAGCAGTAGAGAAAGGAAATATACAAATATTGAAGTTGTTACTAAATGCTAATCCAGATTTAGAGATTGCAACAAAAGACGGCGATACTCCGTTATTACGCGCAGTTAGATCACGAAACGCTGAGATCGTGCAATTATTATTAGATAAAAAAGCTAAAGTATCAGCCACGGATAAAAAAGGGGATACAGTATTACACATAGCTATGCGAGCAAGATCGAAAGCCATTGTCGAAATATTATTGAGAAATCCGAAAAATAGTCAACTACTTTACCGTCCAAATAGGCAAGGAGAGACTCCTTACAATATCGACATTAATCATCCAAAGACAATTCTTGGACAAATATTTGGTGCACGTAAGTTTGTTATTAAGTTATATTGTGGTGTAAATATAGTAAATTATGTAATAGAATAAATATATTAATGTTGAAATATTTGTTTTTTTTATAAAGTAAAATATTAATAGCGGTATATTTATTTTAGGACGTCTTAATACTAATGAGGACAATGAAAATATGCTTGGTTACGATTTGTACAGTAGTGCATTAGCGGATATCCTTAGCGAACCATCATTATCGACGCCTATAACTGTTGGTCTTTATGCAAAGTGGGGTTCGGGGAAATCATTTTTGTTAAATAAGTTAAGAGGTAATATTTGCCATAATTCATAAGACATTGTGAGCGATTATTTTACATTTTATAAAATACTTATATACTAATAATAATTTTTCAGAGGAAATGAAAAATTTTGCGCGTCAATGGATAGATCCTGTATTTCAATTTTCTTTCTTACTCTTTATTGTAGTAACTCACGTATCTTTATTAGTGGGTATTACGATAGGTCTTGCTCTTCAATCATGGATTGTTGGTCTTGTCTGCGGTATAAGTCTTATTTTTATTACGTATATTTTTTTGATACTTGTTTGGTATGCTAATAAAAGGTAAGATTGTAAATCTAAAAACCTATATTTTATATAGTTTTTCAAAGTTTAATTTTTAAATATTTCAATCGTAGGTACGATTGGTATTGGCCATACAGTTTTACAGTAGCTCTAACTACAAAATTAAATTCATTGAAATTACTGTTACAAGTAATTTTTTGCCATCCTCCTGGTGGCCAAGTTCATGATGGTGTTACTGTTCAACCAATAAAATTCTATTTCACTGATCAGACCCGAGTCGGTACGACTGCTGCCGGAGAGAATGCAGTAGTACAAATGGTAGGATCTCTTTATGACTCCATCGAAAATGATTTTGGTTCTTTATCTACACGACTGTACAGAGCATTCAGACCAAAACCAGATAAATCAAGAACAACGTGGAAATGGAGGCATCTTTGTTGTTTGCCATATATAGTTATATTTGAATTCTGCTTTTGCAGTTTACTTGTTGGTATCTCTGTACTTACAGTCTACCTCATCGATATTTCTAGCAGTGAGTGAGTATAAAATAAAATGTGATTTTTCAGAAAAAACAAATTAATTAAAATTATTATTATTTACTTATTTTTTTCTAATTTTTAATACAATAGACCAACAATAGAAAGAGTTACGGCACACATAATTATGATAACTGTTGCCTTAATATTAGCTATTAGTATAATAGCAAACTTATATACATGGAGTCGAACGTTACAAGCACTAGTTTTCTCTCAAAGACGGCATCTACAACGCAGCATTTCTAAATTAGAGACTTTAAAAAGCGAAGGTTTTATACAAACACTAAGAAGCGAAGTCAATTTAATGACAGATATGGTATAACATATTATAGAATAATATTTTTTTATTATATTATTTTTTGTATTTAATAAAATTTTTATAAAAATAAAACAGGTTAAATGTCTAGATAGTTTTATGGCACAACAAAGCAGATTAGTAATAATTGTGGATGGTTTGGATAGTTGTGAACAAGATAAAGTGTTATTAGTTTTAGATGCTATACAAGCATTATTCAGTGATAATGGTTATCCATTTGTTGTTATATTAGCAATTGATCCACATATTATTGCTAAGGTATTGTAATATCATTTTTTTATGAAACGCGATATATAAACTGGATTTTTAAATAATAAAATTTTTATTTTTTCCATTCAGGCAGTAGAAATCAATAGTAGAAGATTATTCACAGAATCTAATATTGGAGGGCATGATTATTTACGTAATATGGTTCATCTTCCATTTTATTTGCAAAATAGTGGTTTGCGAAAAGTAAAAGTTGCTCAACAAACTGCCCAACATAGTAGAAAAACTACATGGACCGAAGCCGAAGAAAGCGTTAATTATACTGCAACTAGTACGATGCATCATTCTGTTTCTAATAGAAGACTTAGCACAGAATCTGCTATAATGAATAGCAATGAAAAATTGAAACCACAAAGTAGAAAAGGGAGTAGAAAATTGCGATTAAGCGAATCAGTCGCTAGTAGTATTGGTAGCAACTTAAATCGATTAGGCGGAGCTCAGGATCTTAATAAAATGCTTCTCACTGACGATTATTTTAGCGATGTTAATCCTCGTAGTATGAGAAGATTAATGAACGTCGTTTATGTTACTGGTAAGAAAATAATTAATATCAGAGATATTCATTCCTGTATTTTTTGTTATTTTTAATATACAATTTATTTTAATATTATGTCTGTTCTTAGGGAGATTATTAAAAGCATTCCAAATTGATTTCAACTGGTATCATTTAGCTAGTTGGATCAATATTACTGAACAATGGCCATTTAGAACGTCTTGGTTGATTCTTCATTATGATATGTATGAAGATAGTTTAGATGATTCTATGTCGTTAAAAAATCTTTATGATAAGTATGTTTCTTTCTTTTTGAAATAATTATTTTTATCTAGTGATTTATATAAAACATTTCTATTTAAATCATTAGAATACGACCCCAAATTCCGGTGCTTAAAGAAGTTCAACCTTTATTAGAAATGGATAGGGATGAACGTAAATTGGACATTTTTTTGACATTTCATCGTTCCAGTTTACTTGTTAGTGATATGAAAATATTCTTACCGTTCACAATAAATCTCGATCCTTATATTAAAAAAAAATAAAAGAGGAACAACAAAGTATGGAAGAAGAAACAGGACATGGCCCATATAAACAATATAGTCCTTGGACTTTACATAGTAATAGTCATGAATTGTGGAATGCAACTAGAAATGGTTTAGCAAGTCGTACAATGAAATCTATTAAAACACCAAGTATACAAGGACAAATAGGACCAGTGCCATCAACATCATCATGGATGCAACCATGTATGCAATCAACATTCGACTGGCAGACATCACCATGGGTGCAAATATCTTCTATGGAGCCAGTAATTAAACCACTTTCTGCAACTTCAAGCTTACCGGTATAAAATGCGATATTATTAGCTGATATTATTATTATTTTAACATAATATTGCTATATAATTTCTTTTTTTATTTTTTATTTTTTAGTCCGAGATTTTGGAGATAAGACTTTCTTCTTTAACAGTAAATGGAATTTGCGATCTTATTGATAGGATCGAGAATATAAATCCCAATCAAGCACCGCAGTACAAACAAGTTATTAAAGAAAATAATATCAATGGTAGAGTTTTATTACATTGTGAATTACAAGAATTGAAAAAGGTAAGTTTTATTTTTGTGACATAAATAATATAAGTAATAGAATAAATAATAATTTTTTATTTATAGGTTCTTAAAATGGCTTTCGGAGATTGGGAATTATTTCGTATGGTAATCGTATCTCTTAGAGAATTAGAAGTTTCATCATTTAGCACACATGAAGAAGGTCCACGAAGTGTTCGATTTACTGTAGGAACAGAACAAATTCCACGAAAAGGTACAAATAATTTAAGTAAATTATATAATAGATTATAAAATTAAATATATTATATTATATAAACATTATTGTTTCATATTATTGTTTAAATATAGATCATACTTTGCAAAGTACTTCGATACGCGTACCAACTCATGTTGAAAAAGATAAGGGAACTTCAAGAACTGATGGTCCTCCTAGACGAGATCAAACTAAGCAATCAATTATGGAAAAACAAGTAAGCTTTCTTAAAATGTAACAATAAAATAATAAAAATATCTGTATTCTAACAATTAATTAATTAATTAAGTATAATTCTCATTACAATCGTGCTCGGTTTTAGTATCAGGTAAGCGCAATTTAATATTTTGTATTAATTAATTTTTTCTGGAAAAAGATATAATGAATAATTGATATGATAATAAAAAAAAAAGAAATAATTTAAAAATTTAATATAAAACTATTAAATACAATAGAAATTAAATAAATAACTTATTTTTAGGTAACTTTAGAGGAACAGATGATTTGTGGAGCACTGCAAACTTTAAATGAAGAAGCGTGCGAAGATGTATTAGATGTACCATCTTCTGCAGTAGTACCATCAGACTCACTCTCAGGTGAGCCCTCTTCCCTACCACTTTCACTGCCTCTGGTTATAGTTCAAGAACCACCGCAGCCAGACCAAAAGCGTGACACCGTACTAGAATATAGTACAAATTTTTAACGAATTTAGATCGAATATAGTTGTATAATTTGATCATGCGTGTATCATGCGTTTTTAGCATCGATATGACCACGTCGCATTCAAAAATGATTCTATGAAATCCATCATTTACAATATTTCAATTCTCCAGACAATATTTGGTCAATATAACTGTTTAAATGTTTCTTATTACACAGATTCGTATATAGAAAAAAATCGTACCAGTATTATTAATAGATAGGTGTATCTACATACAATAGGCAGTCAATAAAAATTTAATTTATTTATATATATATATATATTTTTTAAGTACAATATATGTGGTAGAGATTAAGGGAATTATACCACCTTCATCCTAATGAAATTTCCATCCTCCACATGTGTCATACTCTTGAAAATATGCCAACACGTTATGAAAGACTGGATCGTTACTATTGACAAAAAATATAAAATGAATGTTCTTATAAAGAGAGAGAAAAAAAAAAATAATTTTCATTGTAATATTTAATACTGTTATAATGGTTTGAATGTGTGCGTTATCATAGATATAGAAAAATATCATACACATCTTCATGTAGTAATTTAGAATATTAATGATATAGCGAAAAAAAAACTGTGTTTTTTTGTATTCCTAAAATTATAGAATATCTTCGTATTTTTATCTTAAATAATTTGATGCTAATATTCAATTGGTTATTGTATTCTTACTTGTAGATTCATAATACTAAAAATACTGTATTTTTTTAACAAATATTTGTAAAACAGGCTGTGATAATTAATTGTTATCATCATTGTCAAATGAATATAATTCTCTTTTCGGGATGTTTATGCTAATAGATCTTGTATATTTAGAAAGATAAGTTTCTACATGAAAACATTTTATATACTAAAGTAAATTGCTGATTTTTTTCCTTATTCGTGTATTTTTTTGTACTGTATGTACAATTATCCTAACTAATTGTTGAATAATTATGAATGCAAATGACAATAAAATTTTATTGAAAATTTAAGTGATATTATCTTTCTTAAACTAGATCTATAAGCTTATTGGATATATACATGCTTTCATTTTATATTTTTATTACTACAACAGTATTACAAATTAAATCATTTTATTAAAAACATGAATTTAATATTTAATCGTGTTTTATTTAGGTATCCTTTTACAGTATTTAACATTTTATTAATCGCTTTTAATAAATTAACGTTTATATTTAATCCATCTCGAGTGATATAAATGAAAAATTGGATAACAGAAAGATTTGTTTTAGGATCCATTTCAACGGCTCCTCAAGATACAGATTATGTGATACTTCAATCTAATCCACTTCTGCATTGGGTGCCAGTCAATGATGAGCCTGAAACGTCAGACGACAGTTCATTTGAATCAACAGTTCATCTTCAACGTACAAATTCACAACGTAGTATTACATCTCAACTTAGTACCAGATCAGCTTGTTCGTTTGGACGTAAAGATTTAAAAAAAAGTGGAGGCAATTCCACTAGTAGTAGACCTGCATCACTTTTTGTATCACCTCCACCTTCTCCCAGACCTGCTTTCAGATCTAAATCAACAGACGAAAATTATGTAGTTAATAATATGCCCATGAAATCAACTATCTCTACACCTATCAAGAAACGACGCTCGACTTCAACTTTAAATGATGAAATAGTTTTATCAGTCCCTGTTCCAAATTCCAGCTTGGAAAAATTAAGCAAACTGAAAGATCGTCTTATGGGGACATTACCTGTCTCACCTGCTCCAGGAGAAAGCGAAGATGAATCCACGCCGTTAGTTTCTGAATTATCTACTCCAACTCATTCACAATCCGATAGTGTATTTAGACATGATTGCAGCGAGGAAAACAGTAGTTCTATTTCTTCTAATAAAAGTTTACCTCGTGATGGAGAACGATCTATTGATATTGTTGATTATTCTGATACAGTTAGTTTAATGGTACGTGAGTCTTCGCATGTGCAATTTTTATCACGTCAAGATGTCGAAGAATGGGACAATCCAGAAACACCTGTTTGATACCTTCTGCTACACAATTGTTAGTAAGTCTCGATGACGTACACTAATACATAATAGAAAAAAATAAGAATACTAATACATAAGAAAAAAAACCTTCAGTCAAATCGTACTTAAATCATTTGTGATATATATTTTGAAAAGTAGTCAGACAATTCAGAATTTCATTTTGTATATAGTAAATAGAAGATGTTGATTTTTCTAGATAAAATATTCAAAGGTGTTCATGCATTATAAAGATGAAATGTTATACATTAGAAAGAATAATGATAGACAATGCTGAGAAACAATGCCTTTTATGCAACATATGTAGATTATTTGAGTTTTATAAAAGATATGTTTAATCATCGCATCGTAACATTCCTTCATAATAATTTTAATGCATTTAATAACCCCAGCCTATCAATTTATTAAAAAAAAACTGATAAACCAGAAAATGTTTTTTATCTTATTATAAATATATTTTAAAAAATTAATTCAAGTCAATTCATAAAAGCAGTAATGAAATTAAATACAGATAAATAAACATTTAATATTTTACATATGTAAATATAACATATTGTAAATATAAAAAATATCATATTTACTATTCTATTTGTCTGATATCGCTTGATATAATTTTAAATATTAATTGTCAAATATATGACAATATTATGAGTAAATACATATTGTCAATTTAATGCAATGATTGATATTAAACTAAATTCAACAAGATATTTTATAATAATCCATATTAGTAGCATGCAAGTTTTCTTTTTTGCACTGCTCTTATTGTCGCGCGCGTTCAATATAAAATTATAGAAATTTTGAAGTCAGAAAATATTAACTATTACTTTCCAATTTGAGAAATGGAATTATTGACAAATAATTTATATGTTAATTTTTATTATTTGAGTATATTTTTACTGAAATTTTTTTTATAATTTTGTAGTAATATTTAGTTATGCTATAAATTTTTATTTTAAAGCTTATAAACTTATAAACTTATAAGCTTATGAAGACAGCACTATCATTTTTACAGTATTTTTAATAATTAAATGCCTAGTTCATAAAATATATAAAATATTAAATTAAATATATCTTTGAGAAATCTACAACACAATTTTTTAATAATATCTTTTTTATTACAAAGCGAAAAATTATACATATGTATATAACAATATATGTATATATATAATAATACTTTAGGACGGAATACATTAGGGTATCAGTTGATAATAGCATTGTAAAACACAAGTAACATATATATTAGATTTTCAAATAATAATATTATATGTACTCTGCTTATTACTATTAAATATAGTATATTTAAATACATAAAACATCGAACAGCGCCTTATTCTATTATCATAAATGCTCATATATGGAATACAATAAGTACTTTAACAGCCTTTTGTAAGTCGTCGAAATGAGTTCTATTTTTATAATTTATGTTCTGAGAAACATATGTCATGTCTTTTAAATGCATTACATAGAACGAATTTCGTAATACAATAAATTAATATAATCATAAATTAATCAGATTTCTAAATATGAAATAATATTTTTTATCAATCTAGTCATAGATTGTTTTTTTGTTTGAAAAAAAATTCTTATAGTATTTTCTCAAAATTATAAAATATTTTTTAGTTCATTGTATTACATACTTAAAAGACATATTTTTTTTTATAAAATACTGATATGTTAGTTACAAATATTAAAACTACATAAACAATAATAAAAACTATAAGAAAGAAAACATTTTGGCGGTACAATATGTTTACACAATATGATAAAAAATTAGATATCATAAGTATAAACATAATGATATAAATAATTGTAAATTTTTTCTATGAAAGGTGCAATACATCATCGATCCCGCCTAATTTTTTATAAATAAAAATCGATAAAAAAAATTATCTTTTATGAAATGATTATATCTATAATGTAAATATCTTTGTGGATAAAGTTATTTTAATAAAATATTTTATGGTAAATAAAATATAAATCGATAGGAATGAGCATAAATTTCAATAGTGATATTTGTTTTTCATTGTCATCAAAGGCACTATGGCAAGTATAAAGTATTATTTAAATATTATATAAATATTCTTAATTAAATCTATCTAGGCACCAGGAATTTATTTGAAAATTCGAAGCAATATATAAGGTTTTTCGAATTATACATAATATATAATTAGCGATGAGAAACTTTTGAAACACGGAAAATAAATCAATTTAATAATAGTAGGAGCACCATATATTATTTAATATATGTGTAGTGTGTGTTCTTATTTATATAATGATGCAAATCACTTAATTCTTTATAAAAATTATAAAACAATAAATATAGAACACACATAAATAATTTGCATGGCAGAACTGAATTGATATTATATTAAAATAATTAATGGTACAAAGCATGGTATAAAATTTTTGTAACATAAATATTATACTTATTGAGAACTATGCATAATTTTTATGATATTAAAAAGTATTAACATAATTGCCAAATGATATATTTTACATATTTAGAAAAATTTTTTATAATTTGAAAATATATCTTATTATAAAAATAAGATATCAAGAAAGCAATAATCTAATTTCCCAATTAGAAATTACATTTATACAATTTATATTTTTATTTTGATTTCTCAAAGAATTCATATGATTTATTCGTATATTTTTCTAAATTAAGAATTAAAATTAAATAAAATACTTACATGAATGTAAATTATTTATAATTTGCAAAAAATACAAATATGAACTGGTCCCATTGATATGTTATTTCAAGTTATTTTATATTGTCTATTTAGGCAATATTATATTTCAATAGGCACATAAAGTATATCAGTATATATATATGTATATATATCTTAAGGAAGACGAAATTTGATAAATATTTCTTCTTTTGTTTTAAAAATATTATTCGTTATTTTTTTGTATTTTTCATTGATTAATTAATATTTTACAATTGCGTTGTAATTACGGTCTTCCTCGTGATTACAGTATGTTTAATTGGAGTTTGATCTGTTGTCGTTGTTTGTGGATCGGCTACTAACCAAGGACTTATATCAGAAACTGCCGAATTATCATCCTGAAACATAAAAAAAATATTATTTATCTACTTTAAATTTTTTATGCATAGAATTTTAATTAAAGATATAAAAATATTATAAAGACATTTAAAAAAAACAAGCACATGTTTGCATACAATTTGCTTAAGCTAAAGCATTTTTAAATGAAACAAATCAAAAACTGTTACAATTACTAATTATCAAGCATTTAAGATTGAGCCACACCTTGTGAGTAAGAGTCGTAGTAGTAGTTTGTATCTCTTCAGTTTTTACGACTCTCGCTCCATTTTTTTCTATTTCCGCTTCAGCTTTCTTTTCAGCCATAGGTTGTATTTCTTTAAAAGGATTAAGCAAGCCCAAAAATGGATTTGAATCAATGAACGGGTTTGTATTTGTTTTTTTTCTTCTTCTGTTTTTGTATCTTCCTCGGTATTTTCAGAAATATTATTAGTAATTTCGTTATTATTATCGCTAGTAAATGGATTGAATGGATTTTGAGATTGATTTGAAATTTTAGGATTCAATTGTGTTGTTTTTTGTTCAATTTGTCCCCAGCTGTCTAGAGAAAAGTGTGTTACAGTCACGTTGTCATCAGCAGATGGATTTATCATTGTAGTTCCGCTTACTGAAAGTGTCAATTTATCTCCTCCCTATATAAGAAATAACGCGAAAAAGCAAACAAGTCACATCTAAAGCTTAAAAGCAATAAAACAAACAAAAGTAAAAAAATTATTGAAATAAATTATTTATGTAATAATATAAAATATATCTAAAACATGAAAATAAAAATGAAATTAAAACAAAAATATAAGTAAAAATAAATACGAATTTTTCAGATCTATTTTAGATATTTGTCAGTAATATTTACATTTTATTACTACAATCCTAATTTAAATGGCAAATACAAATTTTTTAATTTATTTATTTAAAAAATGTTTATAATGAAAAATAATTTAATTAATAAATAGCATTCTAAAAATCGAAAAAGACTTTTAACTTTCTACTATAATTAATATATTTGAAATTTACTTATATATTTTATTATATATTTATTTATATATTAACGATATTATAAAAGTTTAGTTTTCTTACCACCGATACAATTGTTGCTGCATCAGAATGCTGATTATTTTTACTAATAACTGTAGGTGTATCCATAGACGTAATTGAAACTAAATTTGAATTTTTCCCTTGTTCTAAAGACTTTGCTTTTAATATATTGCATTTTAATGATTCTGGAGGAATAGGTGTACGCGGAGGCAGTGAAGAAGTACCACCAACTTGATTATTTGGTACTAAGGATGTTTGATTACTTATATTTTCGATAATTAAACTCGTTTTCACTGGTTCTGATTCTTTTTCCGTATTAGCAATTGTTTGATTTCTAGGTTCTAAAGGTTGCTGGTCTTTGGCCAGAGATTTCAATAAGGAATCTACTAAAGGCGAAGGCGTAGGATGTACGCTAGAATCTGAAGATTTTGTACTACATTGACTTGATTGACGTTGCAAAGATTCTTCTTCGTCTAAAAGAAACAGAAAAGAAAAATTTGCAATTTGTATCTATAAAATTTCTATCTATAATTATTCTGAATTTTTAATTATTGAATTATTTGAATATTCATTAACAGAATTAAAATATCTTTATGCATACTAGTAATAACTGGAGCTGGTTGTGGTTGCTCCACTTGTTGACGCTGACGTTCTCTTAAAACATGACTTTGACGGCGTGCATATCTTTGACTTGGTCGTCTTTCAAACTGTACTGTTCTACGTGCTCGATTCAGTTGAGTAGTTTGAAATTCTGTTTTACCACTATAACGAAAACGCGAACCCATACGAAAAAAGTTTTGACGTCCACTAGCACCTTTAACAGGTGCGCGTAATCGAAAGAAAGCATGATGTTCTACAGCACATTTCCATAAATGTTTACAAGCCTTTTCATTAACAAGCCTAAATACAAATGTGTGTTCTTGTTCTCCTCTTCCTTCATCATCTTCTTCTACTACAACTAATGTTAATTTCTTTTTTTAAAATCTAATCGACCAATTTTTGGCCAAAAAAATAATCCTATTTTTTGTGTTCCTTCAAAAACTAGGATTCCGGTTGGCGTTAAACCCAAAGAATATTCACATGCATCTTTACCAAGAACAGTATGCATATCTACACCATACATGTCTAACCATTTTGCTTTACTGAGATAAGCTGATTCAGCCTGTGCTGGACTAAGACCAGAACATTTAGCATATTCTTCTAATATTTCAAGTTCCATTTGCTCTGTTTGACCTGGTACAAATCTAAATTCTGATACTGTAGCTGCACTATGTATGGCAGGATCATAATCACCAAGTTCAGCTAAAAATATATATCAATTTTAAAAAATAATTTTTTTTAACTTATTCATTTTTTTCTTTTCTATCTTTTTTTTTAATACATACATTGAAGAGCTAAAGCAGCCAATTGTACAGCAACTTGATGAGGGCAATGAAGTTTTCCTTCCAAGACATCTTGTTTAAGTTGTAAGAAGAATTGATATCTTGTTAGTTCTTCACGTAAAGTATTAGGTTCTGATGAATAAAACTTTACTTTAAGCCGTAAAGTATATGGTGGTCCAACTATATAAAAATATTGCTTATTAATATTAAAGAAATAAATATAAAAGCTTTTAATAAAAGGTTTTAAAAATGATGCATTTATACATATATCAATAAATAAAAAGAAAAACTATATAAGCATGCAAAAAACGTACTTTTTACTTGTTTTTTTATTGGTTTTGTAGGATCTAGCCAATGCTGAACATTATTGCTATCTGTATATTGCAATCCAAAATAATCTTTTTCTATTAAATCTAAGCTATAAAATACTTGTTCATATAAATCACTAGCCAATGCTTTTTTCTGTAACACAAAAATATTTATAAAAATATCAAAATTTATATATAAAAAATATATATCTATATTAAAAAAAAAGTTAGAAAAATATTATTTTATTTATATTAAATATATATATTCTAACAACAAAAAATCAACACTTAATAGAATTGATTCCATTATATGATAACATTTTCCAAAAACTTATTTTATGAAATATAAAAATCTATTATTTTTTAATAAACTATTTTACTTACTGATAATTCTATAGGCAAATCTGTACCATCAAGTAAAACAACTCTGCATTGAACAACATTTTTATTACTTAGCAATCGTTGATTTTTAATTTGGGAGGACGTAGTTTGTCCACTAACACTACGAGCCCTGCGTCGCGATAGAAATCTTAACATTTTATTTGACATATGTCAGAATAAATTTGCTGGTAAGCAATAACGATATATTGACCCAAAATGCTACATTCCTTGTTTTACATGGATATATGTTTTTTCATGATACGTTGCGTCGGTTAATACGCCCACTTATACACGAAACACAAGTATAATATATTAAAACGATCAGAAAAAAAATTATAGTTAAATGCACATGTTAAAAATAATATTACAAAAAAAATTTTAAGTTACATTTATATTTGTTGACTAGATATAATAATTCGCGAGTAATCGCGAAATTCAAAAAATCCGGAGAAGATACACATCTCTCGGTTACTGTAAAGCTACGAATATTTTTTTTATCGCTAATCAGATGGCGCTAGTCTCAATTTTGAGAATATTCATACCATAGACAAGATATAAAATAGACCTACTATCTTAGGGAATTTTAATATTTTGAAATATTATATAAATATTGAACAAAAAATCATAATTATAAATCACACAAAAAATATAAAAAATCATAAAAAGATAAAAATGTATTGTCACATTTAGAAAATTAATTAAAGTGAAAATTTATAAATTGAATTATAATGTTCTCTATCACATAGAAAAGTGTTCCTAAAATAATTAACGATAAATTATCAGTCGTTAATATTAAAATTTTTTATAAAATTAATAAATGTATTATGTAAATTATAATAGAAATTTATATACATCTTTATAATACATTGATAAATTATAAAATTAGTCAAATATATTAATAGAATAGAATAGAATTAATAGAATATTAAAAATTATAATATTAAAATTTTTTATGTTTTAAAATATGATTATTGGTAGCCATCTTTTATAAACTAGTTTCAGTTCGATTGTTGAAGTTTTTAAACATGTTGAGATTATATTCTTTTCGATTTCGCGTGTAATTTAAAATTATAAACAAATATCTTGTTTAAAGTATATATTTTATTCGCGAATATTCATTTTTTTTATTTTTGAGTATGTATATTATATATGTTTGTTTAAAAGTACTTTAAATATATTTATTCGTAATAGTTTCGCGCGTCTTATTTGCGAGTGTCATACCACTTCATTATTATTATGAAAGAATGAGAAATTATTGCTATATTAATACTAAGTAAGTTAATATTTTTTCATGTGAATGTTTAATTATTTTTAAAATGTAAATGTTATTTTTTATTCAGTTTTCATTATTCCAATTTTAATTGTATATTCTATTTTTAATTTAATATTTCATACTTCTAAAATATGCATTAAATTTTGATACATGATATGATATGACATGATGAAATTATTACGCATTTAATATTTAAGAATTATAAATATAAATTCAATTTTATATATAAAAAGCAAATATGAGAAATCATTTAAATATTTTCGTCAATCAATTTCAAAAAATTGACATATACAATAAATAGATTAAAATTTAATATTTAAAATTAAATTTTAATAACTTAAAGCATAAATTAACATTTAAATTCTTTCTTAATGTTTTAGGTTTTTAGATTTAGTTTTTTTTAACTTTAATATTAAATTTTTTTTTATGTTTCATTCTTTTTTATTTTATAGTACTAATTTTTGTGTTATATTTTCTATTAATTATTTCATTATTCGTTATTTATGTACTATATTGTTATATTGTACTTTATTTTTTCAATTAAACTTATGTATCAAATTTTATATTCTTTAAATTTTTTTAGATTTATTTAATTTTATTATTTTTTTTTATATTTTAATTCTGTTCAAATTTTATTTCATCTCAATATAAAATATCTTACTTGTATTTCAGTTTTTCCTAATTTTTTTAAATCTTATATTTAATATCTTATATTAAATAAGTATTTTATATAAGTATTTTTTTTCAAATTTAATTATTATGTTAAATATTATGTTAAATATTTATTATTATTACGTTAAATAATCTTTTATATTTTTTCTTTTGTTGATTTTTATATTGACATTCCAATCTTCCAAAACAAGCAACAACAATTAATATATATATTATATTATATTTTAATTTTTCGCGCGAATAAAAAATTTTTGAATAAAAAGATAAGCATCATGAGCCAGCCAATCAAAACGTCGCTTAATTCGAGACGCGGGACGAATCAGTGCGCATCGCAGTGCGCAACGCAGTGCGCAACGTAGTGCGCATCACATTGCGCATGTCGTCAGTCTACAGTTGAAAATTGTGCGAAGTGGACGTATCGTCGCGAATTCGGATTAAGTTATTTTACTCTTATTATTATCAAATTTATCAATTTTATATATTGTTAATCGGGTTTTTTAGATAATCCATTTAGTATAGTGAAAACAAAATTAATTAGTTTTGTGCATATCTTTGTGTCTTTTTTTTCGATTGTTCATTTTGTGTCTATTGCGTCATTAGCGTCCCGTATCGAAATATTTCGAGAGAGAATTTGAAAAGGTAATTTTAATTATATACGTTTATTTTACAACTTCTTGATCTTTATTTTTTATCATTATATTAAAATAAAAGAAATTTTTTACGGTTTGTTACGTATTCATTTCGTGAAATCGAATTGTTCAAGTATCGTATATTTTTCCGAATATATATATCGTGCGCAAAATATATATATCGTGTCTCGCGTATATGTTTATTGTTTACTTTTTTTGGTCTATCGTTTATAGTTTACTCAAGGCTAGAAACATTTCTTATGATATTTCATTTCCAAGAAATTGGATTAGCGTTCAAACATGTTTCGGTTTGTCGAAATGTCGAGCGTATCCCCTCTCCATCTTGTTATTCGATGCGCGAAATCGAAGCGCAAAGTGACATTGTTCGTTGATTCGTCGTAGCAATTAGACGTTTGAAATTTTCTCGAGACGTATATTCTATTTATCGCATAATATTTTAATATTATTTCTTTTATAACTTCTTTTATAACTTTTGTTATCATTTGTGCGTTAATTAATACATCTTTATTCAATGCTTTATTCATCATTATTAGAATTGATAATTTTTTGACAAGTAAATAATTGAGTTTCTCGTTTATATAATTCGAGTGTCGAATTACAAGATGGTTTATATTGTAAGTTTTTATTTGACTTGATTATTATATTACTTTAACATAATTTAATTTCATACATATTATTCATTTATTTAACAGTTTTGATTTTTTTCTGCGCAGGTTTAATTGGTAGTGTATGGTAATATTCTCGAAGGCGGGAAAAATTCCAATATGGACGCTATGTCTTGGCGATTTTCTTTCGCGGTAAAATTTTACATTTCGTACGTATAAATTTTTATTCTGTTTTATTGGATTACATATTAGTGATTTTTGTTAAGCAATTCATAACAAAATTTGGTTTTAGTTAAAAAAAAAAATGAGAAAATTAAAAATTTATAAGAAATTTTAATGATTTATCATTGAAAATTTTAAAATCTAATAACAAACATTTTATTAAATTTCAGATATTAATAAATAATTAATAACATTTTTATACATAATACATAATCAATTAAAATAATAAGGCAGTATTTTCAGAACAAATGATAAGAAGAAAAAAAATATAAAAAAGATATTGTTTCTTCTTCTATCAGTCCCCACCTTTCTATTAATTTAATGTTAATTTCAGAAAATATTTGTGACCGCGTGCAATGCGGTTAATAGAATCAGTGTTTGCTTCGTCATAGTATTTTGAATATTTTTTAGAGCATGATAGCTCTGATAAATGTAATAAGAATAATCAAACGCGAAGGTAGAATCAGTGTTTGTTCGCCGACTATAATTTATACGGATGCGTTATTAGTTTCTTATTTTTATTTTTTTTAATTTTAAATATTCGTTTTCGGTACAGAGTAAAATCAGTGCTTCTCTCAAGAGAATAAGGCGATCATCCATCACGCGAAGAGGTATTATTCTTTTATCTATCTAAATTTTTATTCTTTTAAATAGAAATTCATTGGAATTTCAATATCATTATTACGTGTCACATATTTAATAATTTCGTATTTCAATTTTTTCAAATAATCAGAACCGTGTTTTAAATTATGATATTTTGTCACAGATTTCTTTTATTCTCCTACCTGATGACAACCTTCTTCTCGATAACTTCTGGGCTATAATAACTGTGAGGGAAAGGATTCGTCGCATCGTACGGTGAG